CACTCTTGTAAGACGGAAGACGGAATGAAGGAAGAGAAGACTAAAAGAACAAGAGGGGGGAAAGATAAAATATGGAAGGGATAAAAGAATAGCGGTGGACAGGAGCGGCACTAAGTTATTCGGCGCTCCATGCAATATTTAAATTAGCGCCTACATATGTATGTGTGTGTGTATGTGTATACTTACTTAATGAAGTATACTTAGTTAGGAGTAAAAAAGTATTAGAATCAAGAGGAAAAAAGAATCAAGTCGATATCTTAATTCGTTTTTTCGTAATTACTTCCGTTAGCTTCAAAAATATGCCACAATCAATCGCCACTTGGAGGCATTAAAATACATTTTTATATAAATAAAAAATATTTTTTTGCTGTTCAAATAATATATAAGTTTATGCAAAAACATACTGTTTTACTGTATATAACAGATTTCCTTAAAAAAAATTCATGAAAAAGGGCTAATTTTACGGCCGGTAAAGGCAAAATCCCCTCTTAAGAAAATGTAATTTTTGAAAAATTGATTTTTTCAAAATTTCTAATTAGGAATACCCCCTTAAATATATTTGATTTATTCCTACGAGCCTTTAGTTCTTTCATTTATTCTGCTTTGTACCGTGTAGGCGTCATACGATCTCATTTGTTTGTTAACATTCCACGGTCTTTTCTGATATTTAATTATTTACACGTTGCCAGGTGAATAAGACGTTCTCTCAAACATATATAATATTATTTGAATTTACGCGGCTTGTAAACGTGCTAAACTAAATTGTTTATTGCGATGAATGTTATCGCATGCCTCGGTGATCTAAAGGCAAGACGCCCGTCCGGCAAACGTAGAGATCCGGGTTCGATTCTTCGCTGAGAACATAAGGTGATATTTTTTCGCAATAAATTTCTACAGATTCGATGAGAATGGTTCGTATAGATGTAATTTAGCATTTATTGGACGTCGCGAGGGAGAGGGGTTTTTAAGTACTGGATGCTTTGAGCATCGATTCATTAGATTGCCTTCGGCAATTTAATTGTGATATTACATACTACTCGGTTCGGAGCTACGGAGAAGTATGCGATGGGCGGCCACGTAGTGTCATATGAACCAAAAATTGTAAGATTCACACTAATAATATTATAGAAGCACTAAGATCCTGCTTTGTACCGTGTAGGCGTCATATGATCTCATTTGTTTGTTAACATTCCACGATCTTTCCTGATATTTAATCTTTTAAAAATATTTATTTGTGAATATTTTATGATTATTTTATGATTTATTCATATTTATTCATACAAAATGTCAAGTAAAAAAGAAAGTAAAAAATAAATTTTATATATCGTTATTAATATCCAGATTTGAAAAAGAAAATTTATAAATTTTGAAAAAAATTTTTAAACACAAGTTTTTTATTTAAAAGTCTTTTATTCGCAACAATAATTTTTTTTATGATTTATAATTTTTATTCTTTACATTTTTACACACCAAAAAGATACAGTAAAATCGAACACTACAATTTCATACGGATTACAATAACAGTAATTCTATAAGGTCTGTTTTTTTATGTGTATCATCTCGTATTATATTTCTTTTTATCCAAGAAGATTTCTCTATCCAAAATTCTAACATTAGTCCAATCAAATTTATATTTTTCGAATAGACGATGTTCCGAAATCATCGATGGGGAAACCACTCTTTTTGTTAATATCAGATCTATGTTCATCAGGGGTCGATAAAATAATTGATACAACTTATTTAAAATAACAAATATAAAATAGATTTCAGAAACTTATTTAAAATAAAATATCGCAGAGACCAATAAAAAACTGATACGACTTATTTAAAATGAAAAATATAAAATAAATTCCAAAAACATATTAAAATATTAAGTAAGAAATAAATCAGAAAAAGCTATAGAATAATAAATACTAAATAACTCTTTTTATATTTTTTATTTAAAATACATATTTTAAATAATGTTATTTTAAATACGATCAACCTCTGATGTTCGTGTATTCTGGTTTTCAATTACTTACTTATTTTCAATTACTTGTTAGGTAAACTTTTAATTTACCTAACATATGAGACTTTACAATTAAGACAATCTATCTTAAAAATGACCTCACATTGAGATATTCTACAATATATAAAATGTCCTTGTCTGTCGTTATAAGACTCCTCAAATTATGTGGAATCGTGTAAGCAATTTGACAATTTAATTTTTTTGTGATAAGAACTTTTCGGACACAGAGCTAACATATACACTCAGGGAAATGTTTCGCTATTCCAGCTAGAATTCTAAATATTACACATAAATTACATCGCTATTTTTTGTATCTACTGAAAAATTGTCTATTATACGTAGAATTTATAGCAGCAATATATTCTAAAAATATATACAAGAAAATATAGGTCTTACAACAGATCGGAAGAGC